CCAAAAAGAAAAGTCCAGTTGCCGTGACTCAACCTCCAGAAAATGCCACCTGGATGACTAAGAATCTTCATAAACATATTCACTTCAAGTATTTGGGTTCTCAGCCATCAGTATAATATCATCTACATACAAAAATGCATGTATATTCAAGTCCCCAACCAGCACACTTTTAACATCACCATAAGCATTCCTCATACATTTATTTGTAAATGCTTTAATAGCAAGAGGTATCATGCTTATCTCACTTACACCCTGTTAATTTTTTACTCTTTCACCAAACATTTAGTATTTTCATGGAAGTTTTATTTCCATCATATACTGCTCTTTTCATTGAGTAACCAGCCCTAAACCCCATATTGATATTAAACATATTCAGGTCTGTTCATTTCATTAGATGTCTCTGAATCAGTGAGCTTGCAATATGCTTTTTAAAGTCCCTATCATAATTATTGAACATTTGTTACAATTAATAATAACTATTGTAATACTACTAATCTATTTTGAGTGTAAAATGGGTGGAGACTAGGTAGATTGTTCTCTGAGAAATTTGTGATAAATCAGCAATACAACTGCAATTATTTAACAATAGTAGCAACAAAATAACTAGTTCTCCTTATTGAAAGTTACTGCTAAAATTAAAGGAACTGGGGGAGAGCTAATTAGGAGAACTGTGGATTGTTCATTTTTCAGAAAAAAATTATTTTCAGAATTTTAAATTTCTGTGTACTAAGACAGGATCTCAGGATTCTTGTTTTATATTGCTACCCGATATCTGTGTTACCCTTCTTGTAATATAATTGTTCAGCTTCTTAAAAATAGTTGTTTATGAGGAAATCTGTTTTAATTTTAACTTATTTCCTCAAAGAAAAAAATCTACCTAATTCACTGTTGATTGATTCTGTGATAGAATGTCAGACTATTGCAAAATAATTCATTATCCTTTGATCCTGGATCTGATATTGTATCACATTAAACATTTGGGAAGGTCAGTACCTTGTCTGGTAGGGGTGAGGTGATGAACAATACAGAGCATTCTTTTTGTGAGAAGAAAATGTTTTTTTAAAAAAGGATGATTTGACTTTATAGGATTAATAGCTTTAATTGGAGCATCAAGGAAGAAAGTACGCAGCTCAATTGGACTACAGTTCATCAATTACCTTTGAAGGCATCTACAGTCAGTATGGTATGTGAACAATCTAACTTTGCTCTGCTTCTGTTTATTAAAGTGCACATTAACCCAGCAACTAGAAAATGCTGATTTTGTAAAATACCAAGATGGCTTTGTCTTTGGGTTTAAATGCAAATAATAAGCCATAGTTTCAAAGTGAATATCGCAAAGGGATCTTGGAGCATATTTGAAAGATATTCTGGGTACCATAGTGCCTGACAAGGCAGTCATATTCTTTGTTACTTGAAAATGTGATAAAACCTCTGTTTTACAGATTCCTGTTAGTGGGCTTCAGATATAAAGGGGAAAAAATCTGAATTCCAACTGCTTTGCCAAACAGCGGAAAAGTCCGAAGAATGCATTTTTTTTGTAATTTATGTACATTTTAATATATAGCAATTACATAAATTTGGCTTTGATGGACATGTGGCTTTCCCCCAGTTGGTCTATAAACAAATTTATTGTAATTCCATTTGAGTATAATAGGGTTTCTTCCTAAGTCAGCATACCTGAGGCTTAATAATGCGTTTTGAGCCTGACCTGTGCAAAATTTAACAATGTTCTTAACAGGGCCATCGTAAGGATTGCATAGAAAATAAAATCCTTTCAATATTCTGCGTACCTGCTGAGAATTAGTGTATAAGAATATGAAGTTGAACAATTAACCAGCTTAAGAAAAAGTTCACGTTCAGCCTCTTAGTGAAATGTTTCCTATAGTTAGGAAAAAAAGCTGCAGTCTGTTCCTTTCAATATAACTGCCTTGTCATTTAAATATGGAGTGTGAGATTATGGAGTGATTCTTTCTGTAGCAATTTTGGTCATTATGAACTTAAAACTATCATAAAGTCAAATTTTGTAAATATGATTAGAATTTTTCAAAAAGTTATTATAAAGACAGTTATTCTTCCTTTCTTTATGGATGTTTTATTTTTGTTTTAATAATTGTCCTCTTTGGCTATCTATCATGGAGTTGATTTGCTTAATTATTTATCCTACTTACAGTTTATCCTACTGTGATCTGTGCCTTGCAGGCCTTTTCTGTTTCTAAAGTTCTTTTGCTTTAATACAGGAGTGGTTTAGGATAAAAATGAGTTCAATGTTGGAGCACATAAGCTACCTATCCATTTCAAAAGTCAGTCTTCATTATCTTTTTTAAGAATGTTCTGGGCCCAAATGGTTCCCATCGAAAATAAAAACAACGGGAAGTGGAAGCTAGCTACTTTATTTGGAAGTGTGTACACCTTTGCAATAGAACACCAAAGGTTATTTAAGTATTCTGTATGAAGGGAAGGTAAAGAAGTTAGCAGGTAGAGTTGATTTGTAACTGCTTATTTCTTTGTGTGAATAAACAAACCCCTTCCTAAAGCATTGATTTTGTGAGTATGCTCACAAGTTATCTTAACCTTTGCAGTGTGTACCCTTTGTCTGTAGATGATTTATTTCTGCTGTGACATGCTTGTTAGTTTTGTTAAGGTGCAGTTTGAAATGTTGAGTGTCAGAATTAAAATTTGTAGAATAATATGCATTCTAGAACTGTTCCTCTTTGACTTCTCTCAGGACAGCAGACCTCTGCAAGACATAGAAAAGGCCCTCGACATGGCTAAAAACAACCTTGAGCATTTAAATGTTTTAGAGGAGGTAGGCCAACTAATTTTATGTCAGTTACTATTATTATCTCCCAACAACCCTTATATTCCGGAAAGTTCAAAACATTCCTATTTTTTTAAACAATATTTGAAAATACTGCTTCAACATTTGATGGTAATTAAACTTCCGAAGTGATGATACTACTTATTAGGCCCCAGGGAATTAATAGCCTGTTACTTGTTATCCAACTATACTGTATCTAATAACAAGATTGGGAATCAGACATCAGTCAGACCTCCTGACCAGGCAGAAGATACCATTGAGACCTTTTTGTGTCAGATTACCAGTCTTCAAAAAGATATCAATAGTGATAATGGGAAATTTCAGTTATCCAGACGTCTTCTGAGAATCTAACTCTGCCAAGAGTCAGGTCCAGCAAAATTTTATCCTCTCTTGCTATGATAACAACAGGGTTTGTTAGAATTAGAATGCAGTTCTTAATGAAATGGTAACAGTGATGTCACTGACTCATAGTTGCCTGCATGACTGTACCCAAAGACTGTTAACTACTTGTTAATAGTTCCACTTCATCTTTGAGGAAAATACCAAGTGCCAGAGGGCTCTTTCCTGGGCGATGTATTGTTCAACATTTTTATTAGTGATGGATGAGGGAGATGAGGGGATATTTATCAAGTCTGTATATGACATAGAATTGGGAAAACTAGCTAATACTTTAGAGGAGAGAGGAAAGATTCCAAAAGATGTTGATAGGCTTGAGCAATGGGCTGAAATGAATAGGATGGAATTTAACATGAATTGGGGTAGGAAAATGGAATTTCAAGTACAGAATGGAGAGACCTGGCTTGGCAGTACTACAGTATCATGCAGGTGCTGAAAATGTAAATGACATCATTGGTTGTGCTAATAGGATAAGGAAGTCACAAGGAATGATGGTTATATTCTGTTCTGCTCTGGTTGGGTCCTGCATGGAATACCATGTCCAATTTTGGCACCATAGTTAAAAAAATAAAAGTGACAGATTGGAGTGAGTTCAGAAGAGGCTATCATGATGGTATTGGGGTCTGGAAACTAAATCTTACAAGGGATTGTTAAAGGATCTGAGTATGTTTAGCCTGCAGAAAGTATGATGGAAGAGAGAGAGAGAGAATCAATCTTCAAATGTCACGTAGAAGAGGAGGTGTAATTATTTTCTATTGCCTCAGGCATAGAACAAGAACCAGTGAGATAAAACTTAGGAATAAGTAGGTTCAGGCTAAATATCAAAATGAACTTCCTGAGTTTATGAGCCAGTAGAGCAGGCTGCCACATGAGTTCTTTGCTGCTGGAGATCTTCAAATAGACTGGACAATCATCTGGCAGAAATGATCTAGTGAAAATGGAACAGGGGTTGAGTTAGGTTACCTTTGTGTGTAAAATTTGACCACCTGAAACCAGGTGGACTCTAGGCAGCTTATATAGTTGAACCATACAACCATAATTCCTTTTCCTAGTGTCCCTTTAGAAGAAAAAGCAGGCCAAGTGGTGTTCTCATCATCTTCTGCTAGATAGAAAAATGGACAAAGATGGTTAAAAAAACAACAACATTGTGCAAGCAGGCTACAAGAAGTATGCAATGCTTGCTGTGGCTAGTTTTTTTGCAGTTTGGATGATAGGTAGAACGTAATGTTGTTTATAGCACCATCTACCTTTGTTGGCCTTGGCCAAAAACAAGGGAGTAAGGGTTTGTGTTAAATTCCTACTGTTCCTTGTGACAGAACCCTTTAAATGAAATACCCTTTTTGTTGTTTTTTTCCCCTGAGCTTGGGAAAAAATCTAGAACATGGATGTTTAGTGCTTTCCTCAGAAGATCAGAATGTTTCATGCAAACAAATATGTTGATTAAAACTATGGGCTGCTACTGACTTTCTGCATTTAATTTAAGTGCTGCTGTTAACTTTTACATTACTGAAAGTACATTGGAAGAAGTGTCTTGTGTGTGTGTTTACTTGTGCATGCTTATCTTTCTTTGAAGCAATGCACTGAGCATTTCAACTGTCAGAAGCATGAGCGGTGACTAGACTTCAGTGGTATTACATTCCTATTGACTTTCTCTTTGACTATTAAATATTCTTGTAAATGCAATGCCTTCTTGAAAATGTTTGGGACTTCTTTTTTTGTGCTTAGCTATGTTTGCATTTTACTTGGGTATTTAATTGGTTGTTAATGATGCATTGAACAAATATCAAACAAAATTCTATTATTAAAATCTATCACTAGAGTACTTGGCACAAGAGAACAGGAATATTAATTTTGGGCTGCTTTTGTTATTCTACTCAAATAGTGCATTTGTTGCTTTTAAGTTCTGTGGACAATGTGTGCAAGTGTAGATGTGTTTTTAATTATTGTTTTTCCAAAAAAATGGATAAGACACTTCAACAGTTGGTCACTGAAGCAAAGCAGGAAGAAAGCAAGATTGCAGATGTTATTACTGCCAAGTTTGCAGATTGTATGGCTTCTCTGAACTCAAGGTAATACGATCAAAATTAAAATTTTGATTTTTGTCTGAATTCTACAGTACATGTTTCTATATGGATTCACTTTATAATAAGTTATGGAAAAATACACAATGAATTTTGTTTCATTGATTGTTTACTCATTGGGTTTGGTATCAGCAAAGTCCTGATCTTTAAACATCAGAATAGCAGATATTTTCCCTGACTATTATTATGTAGTTCTGTGCAGTTCCCTATTATTCCCAATTATTTAAATGGCAGTAATTGATAGAAAAATAAATACTACAAAATACCTACCCTCTATTTTTCCTCTTCAAGTGCTTCTTCTTTTTTCTTTTCATTTCACCTGTGATTTGTTCTGGTGACAATTCTTATTCTAGTACTATGATTTGTTAGCTTGGAGTAATTGTTATGCTTTGCACCTAATAAGTTTGTTTTCTTCTTAAATTATTTTCTTTATCAAAATGTTAGTCTTTGAAGCATTCCCATGGTGTGAAGGTAGGTCAGATTGCTAGAGTTGAGAGAGATTTATAGTGTAATGAGCAGATTGTAAAGAAATGTCTACTATTTATGAATGTATGCTATTTCAGAAACAGTTTTATTTATCTTTCAGAGAAGTGAGGTGAGCTTGTGGTAAATAGGTTTATGATATAATTATTTTGCAGCTGTTAATATATAGCTTCCTTTTAAAATGGGATAATGTGTGTATTCCTGTGTTATATAGTTGCCTACTTAAATACTCAAATCATTTAGTATTTTTGTAGAATATGACCATTTTTTCTATTTTATTTGTTTCTAACCAGGAAAAGAAAGCTTGAGACAGAGTTGGTAATGAACACCAGTTACTATGTAACTGATGTACATAGCATTCAGATTGCTGTTTTACAGAAAAAGAGCAATTTGATTGATGCCATAAAGAAAGCAAAGGAGCTGAAAGGAAATCATTCATTACAATCCTGCCACAGCTTAAATCAGGTAACATTAAATTATGGTTGTATTTCTTAGCTTTCTATTTGGGGTTTTCATTAATGCAATCTATGCCTTCAGTAATCAGAAGTGCATACTGAGGGATTTGGTGAGGGTAATTTCAACAGTAAAATATACGAACTATAAAGTATAACAAAGTAATACAATTAAAATCAAAACCAGAACTAGTTTTATTGATATTTTATTGTTTTAGAATTGTAACCTGATTGAAAGGTAACGTACAAATGATTCTAAATTTAGTTAGTTAAAATTGGCCATAAAAATAAATCTGCACATTTTTTCTATTAGTATTCTAATCAACTAACTCCAACAACTAAAAATGTGAATTTCTCTGTTTTTAAGTTTATAAAACTATTTTAGCATATGCAACACTTTGATCTTGAGAAAAGCAGTATAAAGGCAGTGCTCTATTTATAGTGATTATAATGCATTATTTCTAATAAGGATAAGTTTGCCCTTAACTCTTAAAATCTTATGGGACATAACTTTGTACCTGTAATTTGTTGTGCAAAGCTGTATTTTGCCCTGTGGTATTTTCAGAACACGCAGCCTTAATATGTGCTATTTTCTTAATATAATTTCTCAAGCATGTTTATTTGTTTGTTTCCGTTTGTATGGCCATCCATCTAGACATGATTCTGGGTGGCTAACGACAATTGAAAAATATAATATCACCCCAAAATCACAATAAATACAAATCAGCGGCAGAGGTAAAAAGTCACCACAACCATTAGCACAATCATCCCACAGGCTATACCATATGTCCCAACCCCATGCCCAGTTACATATATTCATATATACGAATAATAAACAGTGTAAAACAAATATAAAGCAAAAATATCAATTGTGGCACTCCATTCCAAATTATGTACTTTCCACATACCTGATTGCTATATTGTATTGAAAATTGAATAAGGACTCTTATTATTCAAGGCTCTCTGCAACTTAAATGTGTCAGTTGAAGAAGAAGTCTTAAAGCTAGGTAATCTGAAAAAAAGAACACTTCCAAGGTATGTTTCTGGGGGACTAGGGGTTTTAGAACATTCATTTCTGTGTATAAGCAGTGTTAAAATTAATTAAATTGTAGTTGCCAACATGACTAGATTCCACTAATTTATTGAAAATAAGCTCAAATGATTTCAGTCTTCTGTAAACAAAAATTGCATACTAAGAATGGTAAAGATTCTGCATCTAAAATAAAGCTTATGATATCAACAAAGGCAGCATACTGAAATCAGAAAAGTTTCAAAGACTTGATTCACACAGTGGTCTTAGCTATTATTTAACAGCAAATGATTTAATAAGCCACAAACGACTGGGTTTCCATAATATGTTAACTATAATTCATGATTCACTAACTAATTGATTGATTATGTGCCAACAAGTTGTTTTCAACTCCTAGCGACCACATAGGTAGATTTTCTCCATGATGATCTATCCCTAACCTGTTCTTTCAAGTCTCCCAACAGTGTACTCATCGCCACTGTAACTGAGTTCATCCACCTTGCTGCTGGTCATCCTCTTCTTCTCTTTCCTTCCACCTTTCTCAGCATTAGAGCCTTTTCCAGAAAGCTGGGTCTTCATATAATGTGTCTGAAGTAGGATAATTTGAGCCTGGTTATTGTGCCTCAAGTGAGAACTCTGGGTTGATTTGTTCGATGATCCATCGGTTTTTTCCCTTGGCTGTCCACAGTATTCTCAGGAGTCTTCTCCAACACCAAAGTTCAAAGGTGTCAATGCTCTTCCTATCCTGCTTCTTTAAAGTCTAACTTTTGCTTTTATAGAGTGCCATAGCTTGCATGATTCTGTTCTTTGTAGGTATAGACACATTATGGCATTTGAATATGTTTTCCAAGGCCTCATGACTGCTCTATCGAGTGCTGGTCTGCGGTCTATTTCTTGATTGCTTGTTCCTCTACTGTTGATGGTTGATTCTAAAAGGCAGAAGCTATCTACCACTTCAATATCGTCATTATTAATTCTAAGGCTGGTTGTTCTATCTGTTGTCATTAGTTTGGTGGTCTTTATATTTAATTTTAGTCCAATGTTTTCACTGTTCTTTTTGACTTTTAGTACTAGGACTTGCAGATCCTTTTCATTTTTGGCTATTAGGTTTAAGGTCAGTATAGTGCAAGTTACTGATGTTTATTCTTCCAATTTTAAAACCATACTCATCTTCTAATCCATCTCCCCTTGATATATATTCAGCATATAGGTTGAATAAGGAAGGGAAGTGTATGCCGCTTTGTTGCATTTCTTTGCCAACCTGGAGCCCATCTGTTTTGCTATGTTCTGTCCATACTGTGGCTTCAGGACCTGTATGTAAGTTTCTCATGAGGACAATGAGATGTTCTGGGATTCCCATATTTCTGAGCACTTTCCACAGCTTGATGTGATCAACACAATCAAAGGCCTTTCTATAATTGATGAAGCATATACAGTACTGACTTCTTTTTGGTGTTTAGTTTTTTCAGTTATCCAGCATGCGTCAGCAATATCTTGTGTTCCTCGGCCTTTTCTAAGCCAGCTTGAACATCTGGCATCTCTTTTTCCATGTAGGGCTCTAATCTGCATTGGATGATCCTAAGCATTATTTTGCTTTTTTTTTTTTTGTTTTTTTTTTTTGTA